AATTTAATCATAGACAAATCAAAAACATTTTATTCAAAAATCAATCGTTGAATGATTCAACACAGTTGGGCAAAATTCTTTTGCAATTGCAATAAAAGCCGCATTTGAATCAGCTTTCAAAGGATTTCCTTTAGTTGCATGATGAAAATAGTGAACAAAATATGATGTTTTAAGTCTTTCAAGAGTATTTCTGATAATTTCAATGTCTTCTGAAAACAATTTATTATAATCCTCGTTTTCGTATCCAATCTCGTAACAATTTGGTTGTGAAAGAACTGTGATGTCTGAACAGTTGAAGGATTTTTCAATAGTTTTTTCTGGAAATTCGCACATATTTCTAGCCACTTTCGTAACAAGAAATGGTCCGTTCTTTCCCCAGATATTTCCTTTATAATTGTTCATAAATTCGCTGAAAAGGTTAGCTTATTAATATTTAATTGAATTTTAAAAATGTTCATTATCATTTACGTTAGTAGATTCTCGGTAAACTTATGAGCTACATCTGATGACTCCAAATGGAATATTGCATTGTTTATAACATTGGGAATATCAGATTTTTTAGTTTCTGCACAAACAAAGTTCTTAACTCGAATAGATTCAAGTGACACTTGAGAAATGACATCAAGATCAAAGTAAGTGCCACTGTACCTGTAAAGATGAGAACTTTAATTTCTCTGTATTGTTATAAAATATAAAATTTATCATCTCACTTCCATAGCAATAAAAGTCTCAGGAAATTTGAAACATTGTTCATGAGAAAGCTTGTATTGAAAAGCTTTCCACTTGTCACCCAATTTTCCGCTATTGTATGCTTTGAAAAGTCACTTAAATCAAGTCGATAGAACTTAATATTTTTATATTTCACTAACGCCAAAATAGGTTCTGATAATTTCAATTTCATTCTTGACACAAAAATCACACAAATATTACAATCGGAATTCATAAGAGCTGCAGATTCGATAGAACAAGCTTGTCTTGTCGTCAATTCTCCTGTATCGCTTGCATCTAATTTAATTCCTGAACTTTCAATGAA